TAAGTTTATTTTTAAAAATCAAAACATGTATACTTTAATGAAATGTTTCTTTCTAACTAATTTATTTGTATCACTTTTTTTAGGTGGTCTATTATGGGAATGAATTACCAACGATGTCCCAGGAACTCAATAATCGTCTACCGCAACCTTTTAGAACACATTGGACCAGACAATGTAATTTATCTACCAACGATGTACCATAAATTTGTCTATTTAATTACCACATCCTTGTTTTTCTCATTAAATCTATTATTCATGTAGTTTGTCTGGAGGTCGTATGAGGGTCTCGACCATCAACCCAACGCCAATGATGTTGCAGTGTGGACAACAAAAACACTTATAATTCGATTCACTACAGTGGAGATGCACCAAAGTGATTGGGTAAAACTACAGTTCGACATGCATCAGGATATTTCAGTCACTCCGACGTCTTTGGGAGACTAGCATCAACTTAGAGTGGATACAAAATGGAGTGTAAATCCTTGGAAAGACTTTGCAAAAGAGTTGACATTGAAAGAATTGACATCGACACATCTTAATCGACCTTGTTGTGGAAGGGGCTAGACCAAGTTATCAATATATGATTTGGTTTAGGTCGGTTACAACAACACAACAATTTGTGTTTGAGCCGACATATTTGATTGATCCGCACCAACATGCTTCTTCCTCAAACACACAACAACAAACAAATGCCCAACATCAAACACCGTGTTATACCCAACAACCAAGTATACACACCCAATTAATCTTTCAGAACCCCAACCCATTCATGGCACTAATTCAATCACAACAACAAGAGTCTTACCCCTACCGCCAGCCTCCCGACACTGACACCACTTCTGTCTATAGCCCTGATAACTCATTCGTCCATACCTCATCCCACTATAGCCCCGATAACTCTTTTGACCCCACCACAGCCCACTATAGCCCCCCATGAATGAACACACAATCATCCTACCATCAAAATACCTACCCACTTTTTGACTACCAAACCCCTCAACAACCATTGCATCATTTCCAAAATGATCCAATGTACCAATTTGGCCAAACATACCACCCACACCCAACCCAACCACTTTGTCTCAACTACGAAAATATAGGCATGAAATTGAATTACAGAAGCGTTGTTGGCAGCAGCCCCCCGACTATTGGGGACAAATGCTTCAAAATTTGTCTGATACGCCATGACCATCTCAACAAATACCTCTTCCACATGTCAACACGCAAATGCCACAAACACCTCAACAAAATCGTGGTAGACCTCGACGCCGCGCAAATCCACCACTATGTGGAATCGGTGGACGTTTTGATAGGGCCGATCATTGAATTATTTTTCATCTGTTGTACGCTTTTTTATATTATAAATATTATAATTTAATTTTTTTTATTATTTTAATTTTTTAAAATTTAATTTCATAATTTCCTAATGCAAAATAATAATTAATATAAAAAAAAGCAAACAACGCCTCCTCTGAAAAATGTGACATTTTTAGAGCAAGCCTTCAATGGAGGCGCCATATGATATGACGAATGAGGTCATTTTACAATGCTACACCCATATCATATGGCGCATACTTATTAAAAGTATGTCATTTTGTTTTTTTTATATAAAAATTCTAGTTATTATAGTATTATTTTTAAAAATAAAAGTTATTTTAAATAAAAAAAAATAGTCAATCCGAGTAATTTTCCATACCAGTTTCTTGACCAATAGATATATGTGCCGGGTTCGATGAAGAACTATTGGCTTGAGTAATCCCTACCAGATTGTCTCCTTTGCCTAATGTATCGTATTTGCATATACATTAAAAAAATGTCTCTTTTATTAGTCATTTTAGTCTTCAAATACATCTTTAGGTAGTCAATTTAATCATCAAATGTATTTTTTTGTTGGTCAATTTAGTCCAACAATTATTAACAAAAGATGCAATAAGGATGTGTTTGCAATTTCAATATATTTATGGACTATATTTATAGAGTTTCACACGTTCTGGGTATAAAATGACATATTTTATACCCTTAAGATGCTACATCACTATAAGAAAACGACAACGAAAATCAGTGACAGTTGAAATTGAATTGAACACGATTTAGCTGGGGAGGGAAATTAACTAACCTTGGGAAGATTGAAGAAATTGAAACGCAGAAAGCCATGGATTGGAGGTGAAATCACGATCAGTGTCGTGGCCGTTTTGTACGACGCGCCTTACGAAAAGATGTTTCCAAAATTTAATGAGCCCATAAATATAATATTAAGCCCAAATACTCAATTTTCCTACGACGAATATCAAAACATCCACTCATTTTTTCAACTTCCCAAAATACCCTCATCTGAACAAAGTACAGAGAACTTGGTTAAGCCCTAATATCCCAATCCTCTTTCCGGCGGCTGCAGAAAAATGGTGATTCAAAGCGAACCGGCGAAGCTAAGGTGGGGAGAATTGGAAGAAGACGAAGAATATCTTGATTTTCTGTTACCTCCACGTCAGGTGATTGGTCCGGACGAAAACGGAATCAAGAGGGTTATTGAGTACCAGTTCGATGATGATGGTAACAAGGTGAAGATCACAACAACCACTCGCACACGGAAGCTCGCCAACGCGCGTCTCAGCAAACGCGCCGTCGAACGCCGTTCGTGGCCCAAGTTTGGAGATGCTGTCCATGAAGACGTTGGTGCTCGCCTCACTATGGTCTCCACTGAGGAGATTGTTCTAGAACGCCCTAAACCTCTTGGTTCTTCTCTCTCACTCTCACTCTTGCTTTTGTTTTTGTTTTTATTACAGTTGAATCTCAGTTTTTCGTGATTGTTGTATTTTAATTCCTAATTTTTGTAGGATGAGTAACTGATTACTAGAGTGATTTGAATATCACTATTGACTGTAACAAAATGAATACTGTATGATAATATCACGAAAATTTTAGGGTTTTGAAACCCGGTAGGAGAATTTAGATATATTCTGATAATTTTTAGTCAAAATTAAGGGTTTGCCATTCACTGCGGTTACTATTTTTCATGGATGTTCACCTTTATTTGAAACAAAGATTGTTTATTGTCAGAATTCAGAATAAAAAATCATGCCTAATTTTTATACATGGGAAATCAATTCAAATGCAATGAGATTCATGTGGATTGTTATGTATTTGGTCATGATTAAACAAAGTAGGAGTTAATTCTAACACAAGAATGATTGGATTGTTTGGACTTGTGAATAAAAAGATTTATTCTATTGGCTTGCTTTGCATTTAAATTTGCTTTTTTATGCTATTATTTGCATGAGATTCCTTACTTTCGACTATCTATTACTGGAATTTAGCACACATGTACATGAATTCAGTTTAATTTTGTCTTAATTAATCTCTGGTTCAACCTAGTGTATTGGAGGACTTTTGTATCAATCTCATGATATATATAATTATCACTCTGTATTTACAGGTTCCAGCAAGGAGGATGCAAAGGCTAGTGACCCATTGGCTCAGTTCAATAAAGGTGCTGTTCTTATGGTGTGCAGGACTTGTGGGAAGAAGGGTGACCATTGGACTTCAAGGTGTCCATATAAGGATCTTGCACCGCAGTCTGAGGGCTTTGTTGATAAACCTCCAACAGCAGATGGTTCTGCGACTGCTACAAGTGGTCCGACTAAGGGTACATATGTACCTCCTAGCCTGAGAGCTGGTGCGGAGAGGTCTACTGGGTCAGACATGAGGCGGAGGAACGATGAGAATTCTGTTCGGGTAACCAACCTCTCGGAGGACACAAGGGAGCCTGATTTGCTTGAGCTTTTCCGGCCTTTTGGTGCTGTCAGCCGGGTTTATGTTGCTATAGATCAGAAGACTGGCATGAGTAGAGGCTTTGGCTTTGTTAACTTTGTCAGCAGGGAAGATGCTCAGAGGGCTATTAACAAACTCAATGGATATGGCTACGACAATCTCATTCTGAGAGTTGAGTGGGCCACCCCTAGAACAACTTAAGTATCGGGTGCTTTTGAGTTTTTTGCCCCCTTTTCTTTCTGAAGATCTACCAGTTTTATAGTCTGAGTTTAGAAGCATCTGCTGTTTCCTTTCTGTTAATTTATTATTTGAAAGTAAATGTTTGCTCAAGATTTTTGGTTGGTTAGGGATGATAATCAAAATTATGAGGAATACTTACATACTATCACTTGTTGGTTATTGATGATAATCCATATTATGAGTATTGTTTTACAGGTTGACATTGGTGACATTTTTGCTCTCGTGTTTTTATATTTGTGTGACATTATGTTGTCAGTTTTATTCATCCAAAACACACTCATTTTCGTTACCGGTTTTACTGATGCTATGATGTTGCATGTTTCATTTTCTGAGACTTGTCCATGTTGTTATTAAAAAGAGTGAAAACTTGCCCATATCAGATCCAAGAATACTTAAACATAGTTTGTGCTGTTCGGATGTTTTTGTCCTTAGATGTCAAGAACACAACCGTTTCAATTTTTCTGCCGATTTGAAGGTTTGTGGATCTGTTTGTTGTGCTAGAGATTCAAAAATGGATTTGATGTATCTGGCCTTTTGCATTATTATATCATTTTAAATGTTCAAAAATAGATTTCTAAATTCAAAAATGGATTTGATGTATCTGCACCTGTTTTCATTCTTGTTCTTGTGGAAATATTAAGACAGAAAAAGAGAAAGAAATGGATTTGTAGATATTCATGGAAGGATGCCGAGTAAAATATTCCTTAAATTTGTTTAACCTGTATGGTTTATATAAAATTCAATTAAGATATTACAGATTCAAGCTTGTTGATATTGAGAACAAGAAACAAGATAAAATTGAATTGTCTAATTACAATCTCAAAAGTTTCCAAATCTGCTTCTATACTCTAAACTAATCTGGAAGTATTATGTGGAAGTATTTACAATACACGTGCACCTTAAAACTGCTAAAAGTTCACAATCAAAATATATGTAAACTAAGTATATCGGTATCATCTATTACATTTCTATGACAAATAGAAATTATCATCTCAGTCAAATGCCAACAACTCATCCAGCTGTTCATCTGTCCATTGTGGAATTGAGCTTTTTGGATTCATAATCTTCTGTCTTTCCAAGTGATTTTCCATACCAGTTTCTTGACCAACAAATATATGTGCCGGGTTCGATGAAGAACTATTGGCTTGAGTAGTCCCTACCAGATTGTCTCCTTTGCCTAATGTAGGATGGTTTTCTTGATCTTCCATCTCACTTTCAAGCTGCCCGCCACAAGCTGCTTCAACAGGTCCAGTATCATGCTGTCTCAAAGATAAGTTTTCTCTATTCGAAACAGTTCTTTGGATTTCATCATCTTCATTATCAAATTGACAACTACTTAAAACCAAAATTTCATCCCTCTGGCTACCATTATTTGCTACTTCTTTAAACCATGAATCTAATCTGATATTATTCAGGATTCCTTGAGTTCTTTCTTGTGACAGAGGGAGTGCACTGCTCAATGGCATCCACGATTTTTCACGTGCGTCTGTTTGCAAATAAAAGCAACTAATGAACATATGAACTCAATATAGTCAACCAAAGGTACAAAGTCCATTCCTCTGGCAAAGGCAAGAAAATCTAACAAAAGGGACATGAGCCATGTTGCAGCTATAATACAAGTGCATTTTAAAAGTCTACCTGCAGGGCAAGTAGGTGTAGTTTGTTTCGTAGAGATTTGCTCTGATGGAGATCCACTGTCCTTGGAAAAGACCTGTATAACATAAACAAAAGCTATAAGCAGAGAAACAATACCTGCCAAAGGATCTCATTCATCAACAGGTTAGGGTGTGTTGGGAGGTAGACCTAAATTTAATATACATTTGATAAATTTAAAAAACGGAGAATACCCTGAAATATGATCATATCATATAATTATTTAGTTACACTACATTCATTTTTAAAAACTTTCATAGCTTGTATAATTTAGAAAAGAAAAACAAGTGTTCCCCTCCCCTCCAAACCCCCCTCCCAAACAGCCCCTTACTAAAAGGGCAAACCACCATTTTGGTCCTTGAAAGTGAAACTCTCTATCACATTGGTCCTTCAATGTATCAAATTTGCAAATACATAAAAAAAAAGTCTCTTTTATTAGTCATTTTAGTCTTCAAATACATCTTTAGGTAGTCAATTTCATCATCAAATGTATTTTTTGTTGGTCAATTTAGTCCATACAATTATTAACAAAAGAGGCAATAAGGATGTGTTTGCAATTTCAATATACTTATGGACTATAATTATAGAGTTTCACACATTCTGGGATTATAATGACATATTTTATACCATTTTTTATGCCCTTAAGAAAAGGAGAATTTGGTTTTATATTCAATTAGTCCTAAATTTTACTAACACCATTTTTAATACCATTTCCAAGTTTTGAATTAGAAAAGCAAATGACAATTCAGTTCAACTCATTTACGTTTTTGTTACAAAAATGCTGAAAAAATAGTGAAAACGAACATTAATCAAAATGTGAAAGCATAGAAAAGAAAAAAAAAACCATACCTTGACTATATTGCCCAACGTAATATTCAGATAGCAAGTAAAACCATTAGGAGAAAACACAGCTACCTGCATTCGCCACCATATATTTGTTCAGTTCATTATAAGTAAAGGGAAAGGGAAACTTGATGAACAAAACCAACCAAGTAAGATAAAGTACCTTTTGGAGAAGTAAAACGGAACCAACAGTTATATCCTTTCTAAATTCACCTTCGGTGAAGACTTTACGATGGATACTAGCACCAATAGTGCCAGTAGGATCCTGAAATTCAAACTCATAACACCATAAAACAATCTAGCAAAGTTAATTGAATTGAACTGAAATGAATAGAACAGTACCTTTAGAGTAACCGTCATGTCTCCAAAACCATTAGGATTGCATGATTTGATAACAGCAACTACCGAAGGAACTCTTCCATCAGCGTTGAGATGCTTCTTGATCGAACTCAATTTCGGAAAAGATGCTACATCCACTATAAGAAAACGACAACGAAAGTCAGTGAAAGTTGAATTGAATCGAACACGATTTAGATGCAGAGAGAAATTAACTAACCTTGCGAAGATTGAAGAAATTGAAATGCAAAAAGCCATGGATTGGAGGTGAAATCGCGATCGATGTCGTGGCCGTTTTGAACGACTCGCCTTACGAATTCTTGAGTGGGAAGGGGGTTAGATGCTCCTAGGGTTCTGCGTTGAATCATGGCGGCTTGAATTGCACCGGCAGGGCCAGGAATGAGAGGAGGATCGGTGGTTAGGGTTTGGGAAGTGCGGTTGTTGCAAGGGCGGAGGAAGTTGGAGAGATCGGAATCGTCGATGTCAAGAGTTTCCCATGGCTCCAATGCCATTTTTGCTTGTATTGGTTTGTTGGCTCTAAATCAATTCGCATTACGCTCGCGCGGGAAGAAATTCACTACATGCTTTTTCTTCTTTCTATGTTGGGCTGAGCCAGGCCCAAATCTTTAGAGTCTGTTTGGAACAGGTAACTCAAAATTTTTAAACAATTTAAATAATTTAATTGAAATTTTTTTATTTTTAATTTTTTTATTTGGATGAATTATTAAAATATTCACTGTTAAATTTTTGGATTATTTTTTTAAAATATAAAATTTAGAGCTAAATTTAAAATATAAACAATAGAGACCAATTTACAATTTTTGAAAATTTGAAGGGACTAATTGTAAAATTTAAAAATTATTAAGGATTTATTTATAACTTTTTGAAAATTTTAGGGATGAATTTGAAAATTTCATAAAATATGAGAATTATCTTACAAAATTTGAAAAATTAATAATAAACAATTTAACATTTGCATTATATAGAGTGAAGGAACAATGTCAAATTCTATGCTTTTTGATGTCATTTGAAATTTCTTAAATTTAAATTTAATAAAATGCTTCATAAATTTATATCATTTTAACGATTTTCTATATTTTTTATTCAAACAATGATCTTGGTCAAATCATTTTAAATTCCCTCAAAACATTACTTTTCCTCATTAAAATGCTTCATCCAAACACGCTCTAAGGGTCTTATTATAAATATATGCATAAGTGGTGGAGAAACACTCTATATGAATCCTAAAATGTCTCTATAAATTCGGAAATGCATTTTTGAACGCATCAATTTACACTAAATTCATTCGTAAATGAGTTACATCTCTCTTTTTGTCGGACATTAATTCGGAGATGCATTTATGTATTCACCCTACATGCACCCCAATAATTCATAACTAAGACACCCTTATTTTGACATACTTTTGTCTGAAGATGCATCTTTATAGAAAAATACAGATATACATTTTCGTATTCATCCTATAAGTTGTAAAATTTGTCATTTTTTTCAGAAATACACTGGTGTAATTGACCGTGTATTATAACTATATTATCATAATAATTTTTTTTTATAAATTAAAATATACATTTATCTAACAAGATGAAAATGTCATATATAAATGAATCAATCTTGAATCCATAATACAGTCAAAATATCAAAGTAACAAATGATAATACTATCCATAATCCCTAATTCAAATATTATGTTATTGTGTATGTTAGACTCATATGTTCCTTTACTGCCTTCTGTACTGCAATGTCGGTTGTGCCTCAGTAAGAATGACATCTACAATAACCCTTCCATAAGTGCCTTCTTACTAGTATCCTATGTTGATACCCTCTCACGCAAGATCCATAATACAATGACATGCAATAAACGCATCAATGATATGCCCTAGCATGGACTCCTTTAATATCTTCTAATGAGGTGGTTTATATGCTTCTCCTTCAGCATCTCGTGTTATGTAAGAATGTGACACTTTGAAATACCATTGGACGTAACTATATGCACAACTTCATTCACTATGAGATGTGACACCTCGTGCCTTAGCCGATACTATATGATTAAGGAAATCATAATAGGAGGAACAAACACCTAAGGTTCTCTTGGAACAATCTAGATATACCTAAATTGGCAAATGACTCGCTCTAACAAATGTAGATACATCAAACGTGACTCACAAGCCAACCATTCAGAGTAGAAGACAATGTCATCTAAGGGACGCGTTTGACAATGAATGTTGTATGGTTGGAATGTATATCATATGTTTTTATGTGGTTAAGATACACTCTAAATGATGGTTGAAACACTTTTGATAGGGTAAGTATTTTTTATTGTCTCCACATGGATTAATGTGATATATCTATCGTTCCACAGTTAATATTATTTTAAGGAAGGGTTCAAAAGGGTTTTGATTGTGAAAAGAAACATTTGCAATAAAATGTAACTACGGTTAATGCTTCGGAAATTAATGGGTAAAAAATATGCCAGGATTAGATTTCATTAACCTTTTTCATATGTTTTCAACCAATTTAGTAAATGAACATCATTATCAATCACTATAATCATGTGTCTCTCTTCAACACCACTTATGTCTAACCGGTGTTGTGGGTTTTACCGTATTATTTAATCGATGATCTCTCAACCTATTAAGCAATACAATAACATTAAGACTCGACACTAGTGAATATCAAACCCCAAATCTATATCTAGACTTTGGTCATTGATAGATGATGATCTTAGGTCAAGGCTTAAAGATATTTCTCAATAATAATTCAAACCATAGAAGGAAACATGAAAACAAAGATACATCTATATTCATTCATAACTAGCTCATATAACAAGGATCAAAAGAAATACATACGAGTATGGTTAATTACATCTAATCTGGACACGTGATTTAGCTACACATCATCATGGTAGCTTGCTTCAAGAGAGAAAGTTTTCGAACAATGATTCAAACATCTTCGAACAATGAAATTTTTTGAAAGTTTATAGATACATACCATACAATTGACGCAAAAGTGATGATGCAAAGAGAGATTGGAGAAACATTATGCAATGAGTTTGTGTTTAGAGAGATTTGGAGGCTTAGGTTTCAAAAGTGGGGAAGGAAATGGGGGAAATGAGGGTTATGCTGAGTTTTGAAGATGGGTTTCGCTCATTATGGGCCCAAAATAGGCCTTGATAAAAGTGGGTTACGCTTGGTAAAACTTAATTTTTTTTACTAAAGTTAAAAGTCGCGGTTAGCGCCATCAGATCGCCCTTAGCGTGATCACCAGTGTTTCATTTTTTTCCAAAAGCTTCAAGGCGTGATTAGCGATATCAGTATGCGCTTAGTGCGATCAGGTATGTGCAGTTTTTCCATTTTGCTTTAAGTTTCCAAGAATTTATCCCCCTTTTACCACTCAATATCTGTACTACTAAATTCAAATATGTAAATACTTACAAAGTTGGGTTGCCTCCCAACAAGCGATTATTTAACGTCAATTAGCTCGACGGTTCTTTGGTGACTTTAAGGATCAGGAAGTGGAACTTTTGTTGTTATCCGATCAATTTCGCCATCAAGGTAGAGCTTCAATCTTTGACCATTGACAATCAAAGTTTCTTTTAAAACTGGATCTTCCAACACAATTGCATTATAATGCTTCACTTCCTTGATTTGGAATGGCCCATACCATTTGGACTTCAATTTGCTCGAAAACAGTTTTGATTTCAAATTGAACAATAACACCATATGTCCAAGTTTGAAATCTTTGATGAGGATTTTCTTGTCATGGTAGCTATTGACCTTTTTCTTGAAGAGTTTGTGGGAACCATAAGCTTGAAGTCTCAGCTCATCCATCTCATGTAACTGCAACTTTCTCTATTCTCCAGATAGCTTTGGATCAAAGTTCAGAAACTTTAATGCCTGTAATGCTTTATGCTCTAAATCCACAGGAAGGTGACATGATTTCCCATAGACCATTTGAAAAGGTGTAAGACCAATTGAGGCCTTGAAAGCAGTACGATACGCACACAAAGCTTCATCAAGCTTGAAAGACCAATCTTTTCTTGAAGAAGAAATTATTTTCTCCAAAATTTTCTTGATTTCTCTATTGGAAACCTCAGCTTGGCCATTTGTTTGTGGATGGTATGGTGATGTTACTTTGTGTTGACACCATATTACTCAAGGGCTTTTTCTAACTGCGAATTGCAAAAATGTGAGCCTTCATCACTAATTAAAACCTTTGTCAAAACAAGTGAAGATGTTTTCTTTAGGAACTTGATCACTATTTTTCCATCGGCCTTTTAAGACGCAATTGCTTATACCCACTTGGAAACATAATCAACCACTACCAAAATTTATTCATTTAAAAATGAAGCAGGAAATGTACCAACAAAATCAATGCCCCAATAATCAAAAACTCAACTTCAATCATGTTTTGCAAAGGCATTTCATTCCGTTTACTCATTCCTTCGATCCTTTGGCAACTATCACAATTTTGGGCATGCCCATTTGCATCCTTAAACAAGGAAGACCAATAAAATCCTGAGTGTAAAACTTTTGATGTCATCCTTTGACCTTTGTAATGGCTACCATAAGGTGAATTGTGACAATTCTATAGTATGCTTTTTGCTTCTTCTTTGGCAACACACATCCTCAAAAGATTATCTGCTCCAATTTTGAACAAATAAGGCTCACCCCAAACATAAAACTTTGAATCACAAAGGAATTTCTTTTTCTCTTGCCGATTCAAATCCTTAGGTAACCAACCAGTGGCTTTGTGATTAGCTAAATCTGCAAACTACAATATTTCTTATATCATGAATAACTTTTCATCAAAGAATTCATCTATAACTTTACTTTCCTTTTTGGTTATCTCTTCATTCACCAACCTAGACAAATGATCTGCTACCAAATTTTTTGTGCCTTTTTTTATCACGAATCTTAAGATCAAATTCTTGTAACAAAAGAATTCATCTAATGAGTCTTAGCTTTGAGTCAGTCTTGGTAAGCAGGTATTTTATGGTTACATGGTTAGTAAACATCAACCTTTGAACCAATGAGATAAGATCTAAATTTCTCTAGTGCATACACTATAACAGACAATTCTTTTTTTGTAGTAGCATAAGTAATTTGAGCTTCATTCAAAACTTTGCTCACATAGTGTATAGCATGATATTTTTTTTGTCTTTCTCTGGCTAAGAACCGTACCTACCACATAATCACTTGCATCACACATTAGTTCAAAATCAAGTTTCCAATCATGAGCGGTGATTATGGGTGGAGTTATCAACTTTTCTTTTAAGTACTCAAAAGCAATTAAAAATGCATTACCAAAATCAAAAGACTTATCTTTGTTAAGCAGATTGCTCAACAGTTTGGCGATTTTTGAGAAGTCTTTGATGAATTTCCGACAGAACCCTGCATGTCCCAAAAAGCTTTTGATTCCTTTGACATTCAATAACGGTGTAAGCTTTTCAATCACTTCAACCTTTGCTTTATCAACTTCAATGCCTTTGAAATAGA